ACTATCCTGCTTACAACAAAACATCCCAAATGGATTCTAGAAGCACAAAATTTGGCTTCCTGTAAGTGACCTCAAGTTGCTTTTCTGCTAAAAAGAGAGAAATGTAACAAGCGTCAGAGTGCCCAAGAAGATACAGTAATAGAGGTGAAATATGTTCCGAACAAATATTTCTGTAAAAGGAGCAATATGAAAGGACCCATCCAGTAGTTTCAACTGTTACTTGTCTACCAAGGCGAGTATGTTCATGATACAGTCTATTATTGAATTTGCCGTCTATCAGAGCAGATGGAAGCACATTGTTACAGGGCTTAAAACATGCTGTCCAGTGTTTAGGCAGAGACAAGTTTTTAAAATGACTGGATGTACAAAAGGTTTGGTCTCCGTGTTTGAGAGTCTAAAGGGGCACCTGCTAGATTGATTTGTAGTTCCATATCTATGATGTATTTTATAAGGAACTCTCTAGCCTTCATAGGAGAAAGAGGAGGAGGATAACAATAACAACATTATTTTCGCTACCTAGAAAAACTTTGGGGTACTTTTCTGTTGCATTCTTATACTGCAGCATAGCAAATAGTGTGTTGAATTTTTGCTTGAATTCCACTGGATAAAATCACATAAAGTCATTATTTCTTAAGCTAACCTGCCTTTGCAAATGGGGAAACAATAACAATTAGTGTATTGTTGAAGGCATTCACGGCCACACAGCCCCGAAGACCCACACCAGCCATCAATAACAATTAGATTCGTAAGTCTTGATAATAATGAGATGTGGACTAAATAGCAAACTGTGGGCTGAGTTCACGCTTTGATTGATTAATAAGATTTATAACCAACCCTAATCCATAAATGAAAGGTTCCACATGCAGTTGCCAAAAACATTGGATGCAAAACTATTCCAAAATGTGCTATCGTATTGCAATGTTTAAAATGACAGAAGGCAACATTATTAAATACACGGGGAACAATAATATTATTTGCATTTAATTAATTTGATTTTTATTAAATTTAAAGATATTACAACAAAACTTATTTTTTTTAACCTGGTCCTAGTTTTTGGCTTAGATCCACCTACTTGTTGGAATGATACTGCTCAAAAGCCAGCTGTCATCTTCCATCTGGAAAAAAAAATGCAGCTTCCTCATAACCCATTGTTTGCAGTTTACATTCGTATTCATGTTAAATCAAAACAAACTATATTATGGCTTAGGATGACATGAGAAGTCAGCTTTGGTGGGTGATCCCATGAATTCTTTAAAGTGTAGAATCTTCCTAACTTTGTTGTTGTTGTTGTTACACAAGAGTGTGTGATGCATGTAGGTGTGTCTGAGAAAGAGAAAGCTGTGGCTGCATGCTGTGGGTGGATTATGATTCCCGGGAATTTCCTAAACTTAAGGCGTCTGCATTGTGCATGCAAGAGCATTGTCTTGGACAAGACGGGAGTCTCCCGATGGCAGCCAGCAAGATAAGGAAGCTCGTGGACTGCTAATGGGTGAGTCCAGAGGATGGAGCATTGTCCATGGCGGAAGTGGAAACCACCTTTGGTCTCCAGCTCCAAGAATCTGCTCTGAAAGTGAAGTTCATCATCCCTTGGAAGTGGTCCAACAAGGTTACTGAAAGGGCAACCTTTATGAAAGGGAAAAGATTAATTACAACAGCAGGAATGGAACGGCCCCTCCTGGAGACTAGAAAACCCTGAGAAAAGTTAGAAGGTAGTTCCTGAAGCAGCTGTAGTAGAGGGACAAGCACTTAAGTGCTTTCTGCTTCCTTCCTCTCTGTTATTTATTTCACTTGTATCCTTCCTTTTGTCTGTGGGTCTCATGGCAGTATACATGGTTTCCCACTCACTTTTTCTCATCACAACAGTACCACAACATAGGTGAGGCTGAGAGAAGATGATTAACCCAAGTGTACTCTGTGTTTCATTGCTGAGTGAGAACAGGTTATTCAGTTTTCAACCATGCCACCTCTCTGGCTCACACCTAGGTTGGTTCACACAGTGTGCTAAGTCATGATATGATTTGTTTGGTATGGGTTTAGCAGATGGTTGGGAACCAATGACCATCCAGATGTCATTGAAGTACTCCAATCCTTCCTCCTAAGGCTGCTGGGAATTGTAATTCAGCAACCTCTGGGACGTCACAGATGATTAGTGTGTTGATTGTGTTGTGGAAACCCAGCCACTGTAGTTTGAATAGTATGGTTTATGATATAGTGGGATCTGTGAACTCATCCAGTGTGGTTTACTCAACAGACCACCCTTTATTATCATGTGAGGATCCAGCCATTCTCTTCTAGCCTCTAACTAAGGGGTATTTAGTCAAGGGAAGTCTACCAATATTTCTCTCCCAATTTCCATCTGATCATATTGAATGTTAACAGCATGTTAGATGTTGAGCTGAACAGAAAAGCATTTTGGTCCCTGAAGTTGCTTTAAAATATGAGAAGTGTAAATAGAGAAGATCTCACCAAAGAATCCAGTGGGAGCTGGGGTAATGAGTTGGTTAAGATCCTTGATTCACCTCTTGCTTCTGGATCAAACTGACTCGGTTTGGCAACCCAAGCCAGTTCCTCAGCCGCCAGCATCACTACAATATTGGGGGAATCTGCCTGGTAAGGTTAATACTAGGGCACTTTCCAAACTGCATGAGTGAGAATAAAAGCCCCCCTCCTCGATTGGTTAAAGCAGCTGCATCCTTTGGGGAGAATATGGATGTTTCAAACAATTTCCTTGGTTGTCTATGTATATGTTTACAGGAATAGCAGTCCAAGCAGAAGTTATCTGTACATGCACATGCACTTATGGGCAATCAGAGAAGCCTTCAAAGCAGCCATGCTGAGCCTTCCTAAAAATATGGCTCCTTGAATGTTTTGGGTTGGATTGCCAACTCATGCCAACACCCACTGCAAGCACCCTTTTCAAATGCTTTGCATAGCCTTAGCTATTATAAGTAGATCAAGATAATGTGTATGAAATGCTTGGAATACCTAAACTCCTCCTCCTCCTCTTAATTATTTGGGGTTTACTGGATTAAGACACTCCTTGAAGGAGTAAGTCAAGGACCATGCTCATTTTAACTTCTCTTCTTAGTCCATGTGAAGCAATGTCTGCACGATGCGTGAGTGTCATCTCATGTAGAATCTATCAGGACACCATATACAGCGAGATACAACCTCTATTTCTGTACTGTGCAGAGTGCTTCTGAGCTATCCACTATAGACTGGAAGTCTGCTGATATGGAAGGACAAAAATATAATAGCTTTGCTTGTTACAGAGGTGGAGAGGAATGTTGACAAGCAGCGTAGGGACAAGCTAGAGGTGAAGTGTAGGTCGTATTAGCAAACAATAGGTTCAAGGTGGGCCACTGGAAATGGACCATTTCTTTTCACAAGTCATCCAATGAAGATTTGGTGCCTTCTAAAGATGTTGGAACTATCCATGAGGAGGGTACCAACTGGGGAAGGCCGATCTAATATCTTTTGGTCCCTGGGATTCTTACCAAGAATGCTGGACCACGAAGACCTTGATCTCATCCAGCAAAGCACTTATGTTCTCATTCAAGCACTCAGAATCATAAGTGCACTCCTGTTTCCATGGTGAAGCAGCCTCTGGAGGTGGAACAATAGCTCAACTATAGTTCATCACTTTTGAGATCATGCCAAATCATAAGCCTGACTTGGGCATTATTTTAAACTACGGAGAAATCGTATATTGAAAAGCAGTGGGACTTAGCATGTCACCTCTGCTTGAAATTAGTGTTTATCCAATCCCAGTGCCCTTCATGGGAAGGCCTGAAGGGAGATTCATCTGCACTCAGCTGAGTGCATTTGAAATCTTCCTCTTCAATCAGGACGCTGTATGCGTCCCTATACCTCCTTCACATGATGCTGTTTGTCTTCAACTGGTTGGGCAAGCTTGATGCCTGTGGCACTCCAACTCTCATTAGTGCAAACTTCCATGGCCAGTGGTTAAGTGTGACCATATTTTAGCCTGATAAAACCTGGGGAGGGGGTACAGATTGCCTACCCCTTGCTTGAAAGAAGTCCTACAAAGAGCTATAATTTGCAGAGGGTGTTTCTGCAAACCAGCCTCACGCTGAGATTTTTTTTTTTATCCTGGCTGATGCCAAGACTTACTTAGTCTGTCCAGGCCT